TATTGTTTTTATTTCTTCACAAACAATCGCTTCGATCACACAAATAAGAAGCTATGCAAAAGAAAAAACTGACGATTTTTGCTAAAAGTAGTCAAATTGTTCAACAAAAGTAATACGTATATGTGTGAACTATGCACGTTCTTAGTACTTTTGTTTCTTATGTTATTTATGATAACTGAAAACCGACACCTTTCAGCGGCGTTACTTTGCCGAACCTGAATATTGTCTGTTGAATAGCTGCTTTATTACTCATTTGTTAAAGTAATTTTAACAAATTTTCAAACAGTTTTACTAGAAAAGTTATGTTTTGTTTCTTTCTGCAACTGGCTCATAATCCTCTAATTATGATGTCCTTTTTTTTTAATGTTTTAAGTGCACTATTAGGCGAAGCGTAAGAAATGAAAATGCTTGCAGTAACAAATAATTGTTACAGTTGCTGCAGACAGTTATAGCAGCGCCGAACAACTATAATACTTGAAAGTCATATGTCTGAAATTGAAATTTTTTTCTATTTTTTTTGGAAAATAAATACTGCAGTAATTCTTTAATAATCTTTATTTGTATCTTCAGAAGTTAGTTAAATGACCAAAAAGTTGTTTGCTGACAAACTTTTGAGTGATCTTGATGGGTAGTTCTTTTATAAAGCTGCTCTCTGAAAGGTTGTCAGGTAAACTCCTTATTCTTGAAGCAGGCTACGTTATGTTATTTTGAGTAACAAATGTCACAATTTACGACTCTAAGAAGATGTTATTTACTCTTTCAATTATCAAAGATTAACCAGTTTTTCATCAGTAGATGCCTTTGTCGCTTAACTATCTTATTGATTTTTTTAAAGGAAATGAACAATTTTATGCAAGAGAGAATTTTTCTAAGCTTCTCTGATACATCTGCAATTTTTTAAATATTTGTCTTTAAACGGTGCTCTCACGCCTTACCTATAAGACTGAAGGCTAACTGAGTATCTGACGTAGGATTGTAGAGGTCAAACATATTAGTCGATCTTCGGAAATGTTTGGTAATATCTGTAGCGCTCGTTGCAGGTTAGATTGAACGTAGCATATTTCAGTGTCTTCTACAAATTACACTTCATTCTGATGTATTAATCAGATACCGTACAGTTCTGCCACTATAATCCTTACCTCATTTACAAAAAGTTTTTAACACCAAATTTTTTACAAATGTTTTTTTAAAAACTACTCGAGGCTTTTTTGGTCAAGTAATCAATGATTTTAATGACATTAAACTGAAAAATTTCTAATCTTACCGAACACGGCACGAAAATTCTTTGGATGCCTTATAAAGAAATAAAAACTTTTACAGTAGCAGTTATTCATTGTAAAAACGGCATTTCATAGCGGCTTCTTCGCAGTGGTCAACTAGGCGTAATAAAACGATTTTCACTAAATACCACAGTATTTTCTGGCAGAGCACAGCTTCAAAAAATTGCTCTATTTCGATAAATCATACTGTTTTTTAATACTTCAACATCTTCACTGTAATTTTTTTCATACTTCTTATAGCAGTTGCCTCTTCTAGGTCCTCGCTTGAAACCTTTTTATAAAACCAATTTCAGTAACTAAGTTTGAAGTTTATTCTCACTCTAATAATAATAGTAGTAGTAATGACAATAACAGCAGTAATATTGATGATAATAATGCTAGTTACAATGATAATAATCATAATAACAATGATAATAAT